GACCACTCTAGGCGGCTCTAGTGAGTCTTTTGCGCTCTCCTCTTTCACCCTTTAATTCCTTCTCACTTTCTGCCATCAGAGTGGTATCATCTGCATATCTGAGGTTGTTGATATTTATTTCGTCAGTCTTAATTCTGGCTTGGGATTTGTCCAATCCGGCCTTTTGCATGATGTATTCTGCATATAAGTTAAATAAGCAGGGAGACAATATACAGCCTTGTCATACTCCTTTCCCAATTTTGAACCAATCAGTTGATCCATATCCAGTTCTAACTGTTGCTTCCTGTCCCACATATAGATTTCTCAGGAGATAAATAAAGTGGTCAGGCACTCCCATTTCTTTAAGGACTTGCCATAGGTTGCTGCGGTCCACACAGTCAAAGACTTTTGCATAGTCAATGAAGCAGAAATAGATGTTTTTCTGGAACTCTCTGGTTTTCTCCATAATCCAGCGCATGTTAGCAATTTGGTCTCGAGTTCCTCTGCCCCTTCGAAATCCAGCTTGTACTTCTGGGAGTTCTTGGTCCACATACTGCTGAAGTCTGCCTTGTAGGATTTTGAGCATAACCTTGCTAGCATGTGAAATGAGTGCAGTGAGTGCAATCTGTGCCCATACCACCCATCAAAAGATGGGGAGTGACCCTGAATTGTACTAGCTGTAGTATTCTGGGTAGTGGTCTGTGCCTCTCAGGGCCTGTCCATCATACTGAGTTTAGAATCAAAAGTAACGATCACTCTTTTTTTTAGTTTCTAATCCTTTTATTTATTTATTTTATTTTAAGTGCTATCATCCACAGAAACATGTGCACCTAAAATAACTTGGATCTTGCTCTTCAAAAATTATATTTCAAATTCCTAGGCTTGTAAGAAAACTGCCAGTTGGAATATAGAATAACACATGGAGTGTTTATCACTCACTTCTGTGATTTGGAAGCTTCTGTGGGATTTTATTTTGCAGCTCATAGGTTCATTGGTTTAAGCAGCATGTTTATCCTTTTGTAAACTTTTAATGGCTAAAAGGAATGCATTATCACTGGAAATTATGTTTATTCCTTTCCCAGTTAATGGGTGCTGTTGTGGTAAGAGTTAAAAGTAAGCATTAACAGTCCATTCTTGTTTAGACCCCAGGAGTGCATGCATTATTTAAATAGGTGTAAATGCCATCCAGATGTTTATAAAATCGTTTATAGGTATTAGCCTGGCCAATCATAGGGCATGGTTGCACAGTGATGTCATAGGGTATTCAGTATCCATCCACAGAGCACTAGGGAAACCTGTGCAGCTGACTTAACCATATGTTTTCCACCAGAGATGTCTATTTGGTCCCTCTTTGATCTGAAGGATTCTTTTTAGCTTAATGCTGGTAAATGTCCCTCTTGACAGCCCCCTTTGCTTTTGTTCACCATTATCTGCTGAAGTTTAGAAACCGGAGCATTACTTCAAACATTATAGTTAGGGAGTAGCCAGTCAAAAGAGATTCCGGAGGCATGCGCTTCTGGTGTAATCATTCAAAGATGTTTGAGCTGGGGATAGAGAGAGAGCTGGATTGAGGTGTATGAAAAGA